CTGAGATGACGGATGATAGAATGCTTTGGAGGACGAAAACCCGGTGCGCCGACCCTACGGGAGTAGGATAAGGCAGGGGAGATGATGACTGTTTAACACCTCTGCGATGACGTTGACTAGCTGTAACAATCTTTCATACTCTACCTCCACACTTGATCACATTTTAGGTCTTAATAGATCTAAACTTGGTAAACAAAGGCTTGTAGACAAATTTTACTCTCAAATTCATATAATGCTTTTGTTCTCATGTTAAGTAAAGTTCGTTCGTAATAGTTAGGTCTTCTTTTAGTACACCTATCCCAACAATTAGACCTGTATATTATTGTAATAGTGCGTGGACATGCGATGCGCGATCTATTAGTGATTTAGTTTAAATAGAATTTTTATTAATAGATTGTCATCGTTTAATGTAATAAACTGAGTTCGCGGGGGCGAAGTCGCTTCGAGCAATTTGCGACACGACAGCATTGTTTTATGCCGACCCTGTTCGAAATTTATGTACATATTTAACTTTGACGAGAGTCGTTACATTGCATACTCGAGTGAGATCTATGTCCATCGTTATTCTAGTTTATAATTTAAACTGAGAAATTAATTCTACGTTTAGATATTCATTACAAGTTTTTTGCGTTATTACATGTGGCGATCCATTCCCGTGTTCCTATATCATTGTCCAATTATATAAATTGACGATTAAATAGGAAGAAGGAAGTAGGGAGAGCTCGGCAGAGTGAATTGAAGCGATAATAAATTGTTGTCTATAGGAGAACTGGTTTCGATTGCAGTAACATTAACACATATTGTAGTAAATATTTAAGCTTCTTTTTGACAAGGCAGAGCGCAGACTGAAATAATTTTCATTTACACCGGTTCATGTTTTATTATATTATACAATTTATTTTAATAATAATTAAAATAACAACGCGAATTAAACTATACAAGGTGTTTTTTATTCCTATATATTTTTTTATGTTTATTTTCCTTTTAGTAAGATTTTTTTCACTTTTCATATTTATATAGGACAAACAAAACGCGATACGCAATGGACCAAATAGGAATGTCCATACAAATATCAATCTTAGCATTCGAGGCCGTCATAAATTAAAACGATGGCATTACCACGAAGTATTTGGAAGATCTTACAATCGTAATAACGTAATGGAAACAATTTCTTTTATCGAATTTATAGCTCATATTAGTTAAAACCAAACGAAATCCAACATACTATTATTATAGATAGAAAAATAAACTAAAAACCATAGACAACAGGAGGAATGTAGAGTCCATACATAGATTACATATTTAAAGCTATAAATACTTCATAGAGATGTAAAACTTACGACTAAAAATTTGTTACACTAAGTACACTCATCAAATTGACCTCGACAATTATCAGACTGCAGATCATGATGAATATTTAATTACTAAATAATTATAATAATCTAAAGGCAGCCGCATAATGTCTTATTGTAGGCAGTCACTCATTTGACTTATATTATCGTTTTAATATATGGTAACATGACAAACAAAATTATTTCAATAATTTTAGATCTAACTAAATAAAGCTAAAATCACAAAAGCGACAAATAGTTTGAGGATAAAATTATTAGTTTTTTCAACGTCAAATAGTTTGAACAAAAAAATATAACTTTCGTCCTACAACGGTAATTATCCATCCAAGTGTGTTACCGCAAAATATATTTTATGGTAAAATATATATTAGCTTATTTAAAAATAAATAATTTTGTAGCATTCAGAAGCTTTGAGAGAAGTAACTTCTATAGCAAACTGCGGCGCTAGTGTCATAATTTGTATCTAGTTCATTTGTTATAGGCTCGGCTCTTAATTGCACGGTCATACATCAAGCACGTTATCGTGACGTATGTGGTGAGGTTGAACATTCACCCGTGTCGTGTGGTGTCGTGTAGTGTCGTGTGGTGTCGTGTGATGTCGTGTGGTGTTCAGACGGGCGTGCCGAAGTCGGGGTCCCCGCGGCCGGGCAGCAGGCGCGCCGCCTTGCCGCGCTCCACGCCGCCGTTCACCAGCGGGCCGTGCTCCGTCACACGCCGCGCTGAACCTATCCTGTAGTCATACTTTCTAGGCGTACTGTTCACTCTATCACATCGTAACGTACAGTCGCGGAAACACGCGGTGTTTCACTTAAAGAAAAATTGTATTATTCCTATTTTAAAATAACATAATTAGGTAGAGGTAAGATGCATAAACGGCGGGATAATAATAATAAAAATCAATACACCGCGTACCGACCAACCCCATTAACAAACACATTTAAAAACTGTCTTATTAGTTATTTTGTAGCGACGTCTCAATAAGTATAAAACATTCAAGTGACTGAAGCTTTTGATGTGGAACACCAGATTACCCGACTATATGTATATAACGCACAAAAGTTTTAATACATTACCGAAATCCTTTCGGTTCCCGCCTGAGTTTAGCTTCGCCGTTAGTATTGGCAGGTCTGACGTCATTGGGGGCGGGGGGCGGGGGCATCACAGGCGAGGCTGGCGACAACGGGGAGGGCGGTGTGGGGGGCGTGGGCGGCGTTGGGGGCGTGGGGGGCGATTGTGGCGACGGCGGCGATGGCATCAGGGCAGATTCCGATATTAAAGACGGATACGAGCTTCGTGGAATAGCTTCTGTGAATTTATAGAAAAGTTGGTAGTTAGTATTAATAAAATAAAAACAACTTGTATTTTAGTGGTAGAAATAGAGACAATAATCACCTGTGTCAGTCATTACAATTAACGACGCGGTGTCGAGTGGCGCTAATGTCGGTGCGTGCGGGGTGAGGGCAGGAGCGGGGGCGGGGGCGGTGGCGGTAGCGGGCGGAGGAGGGCGCGCGGGGGGCCGAGGCGCGGGCGGGTCAGTCTCCACAGTCGCGTGTGGCTCGTCCGAGGAATGCGCGTCCCCAGACACCGCCCGGTATGTCCCCTTCGTCCGCCAGTCCTGGATATAGTCCTGTGCCATTACATAATTTTGAAGATAAACCTTTCCTACAATCCCTACAAATTGGAACAAACAAGCGAAACTAAATTATTCTTCTATTCACTGAAAATTATGCTAGTGCGGCTATAGAATTCAAAGTAGTGACTGACATACCTGTGGCTTGCGTTTCTTTTTGAGCGAGGGCCGTCTTGTGTGCACAGGCGTGGAAAGGGGCGTGGCGGGGGAGGCGGAGGAGGCGGTGCGGGAGGGACGCGCGCGGGGCGGGGAGGGGGGCGGGGACACGCCGGGGGACGCCCCCGACACCGCCTGGTATGGGCCGCGACGTCGCTCACCTACGTTCTCACTCTCTAGTCTGACCATCTGAATATTAAATTACACAAGTTAGTTATATTTACAAACTTTTATCGTTTAACACCAAAATTACAAATAGTTGGTAGAGGAAGTAGGAAATGAGGAAAAGGAATGTGTGGAGTACCTCGAGCCTGGCTTCGATCTTGATGTTGTCGTCGTCCATGTCGAGTATGGCGAGGTTGTTGTTGAGTGCGCTGTAGTCTGCGTGGCGCGCCCCCCGCCCCGCGCCGCGCCCCGCCCCGCACCGCTCAGACCCGCACTCGCTGCCGGACCCCGCCACTGACTCCGGCCTACCAACACAAAAACACACAGCTAGTAATTTATTTAAATACTAGCATTCGCCCGCGACTCCGTCTACGTAGATTCAAAAAAGGCTAAGTAGCCTATGTGTTCTTCCAGTCTATTACTCTACATCCATGCAAAATTTCATCGAGATCCGTTCAGCTATTTAGGCTGCAAACTCTAACAAACATCCATCCATCTATCTAAACTTTCGCATTTATAATTTAAATATTGATTTATGTATTGTGTGCAGAAAATACGTTACCTATTGTTATAGTCGGGTGTGCGTGGGGCGGTGGGCGTGGCGCCAGAACCATCCCCTTCCTCGCAGAACACCTCCCCGTCCTCGGGGTACAGTGGAAACCTGAGAATAATCGACACAATGGGTAACTAACATCATAAAGTAGTAATTCAAAATCATTATTTTTTAGTTTACACAAAGTTGAAAATAGTAAGCAATATTCTTTAAGTAAGATAAGTCATATTACTATAGTGTTAAATAGACCTTAAATTACAAAAAATTCTAGACATATTTAATTTTACTAAAAAAATGTTTATCAATACGTGATTGTTTATTCAAAAGCCTACAAGTCATTGAAGATTTTATAATAATTTTAAGAACAATAGTATATTGATATTCATTATTATCAATCAGGGCTTGCCATATTGTTTCAAACTCAGAAAATTCTCCTCAATTCGTTAAGTCAGCATTTGCATCACTAACTTGTACTTGGTCAAGGATTATAATAAAAAATTGTACCAATTGACATATCAAGAAAAAAAAACACAGAATACACAGTTGAGAACAGCGCCATCTAGTTTAAGGTTTTAACAAAAAGAACACGGTACATATAAATGGTCAGCAACAGTACCTGTAGTTGTCCTCAGAGAGGCGGTCATCGTCGTCAGTGGCTATGAACTGTACGCAGAGTGCGCAGTCGCCCTTCACACTCTGCAGCGCCTGCACCGCCTCCTTATGACACGCCTGCACACACAACACCTTTTCATATTTTAGCTTAAAAAACTACAAATATACTAATATAATTGTTTGCCTATAAAGCCACTAGATGGCATTTACACAACTTTTTGTCGTCAAGTGAGTTCATTTCAAAAATGTGGTTTTATTTAATTTTTAAAGGGACAAAACTACTAGCCAATAGCAAAGCTGCAAGACCCCCATTGTAACGGTAATTATTATCCAATGTTAAAGGCCTTCGTTGTCATTTAAATCGTAACATTTGTACCAGAAACTTTTACAAGTGTAAATAATATAATAAAATTCTTAAAATATAATGCGGATGAAGCTGAAAGGAAACAGGTAGTCGTAAGTTTAAGGACAGTTGCGCACCTGTGTGAGGTCGAGGTCGTTGATGGCGAGTATGGCGTCGCCGACGTACAGCTCGCCGGTGAGCGCGGCCGGCCCGCCCGCCTCCAGCTCAGAGATCAGGATTGGCACGCCGTGCTCGCGACCGCCCTGCAGTGTGCCATATACATAAACAATTACAATGATAAACTGCTAAACTACAATAACATCTTATCACTAGATGTCGCCGTTGTACTCCGTAAATTGTTATCAACACCAAGATAATTGACTTTAAATTATTTGTAACCTTAATGAAATAAAATTATTTGTCATAAAATGTAATTGTAGCTTCGTTGCCTACCGTTAATCAACGGAGAAGGAAACACACATAGAGAGGATATTTCTCCTTCCTAAGCGTGTCCTCCACCGTCAAATCCACTTCTCGTATAACAAAATGGTGGAAAGGGAAAGAGACCAAAGATAGGCTTCCGTCATCATCACTCATCGGACGAAACATTCGTGTTTGAATGAAACTAAAGTTTATTTTACGGATTCTATACTTTTTAGCAATATTAGACCACCTTCTTACAGCTATAATATATTCATGTTTTTAACAAATTTATTTAATCTAAACATTTACGATTAACGTCTGAACAACTTGCCTAATTATACACAAACTGGTGATTAAGTTGAAATAATTTATGCATATGTAATTCATGAATAAATTAATGTTTGTATATTGTTAGATAAGATGTATAGCAGTTAGTATGTTAATGGAGATGTGAGCTTGCAGGAAGCAATATATTATTGAGATGGCACAAGTCACCGTATCGGCGGGTATCGTCGCCGCGGCCGGCGGTCGCTATCAATATCCTTTACGCACAGGGCTACCACAAACATCTTCCTTAAAAAAAAAACATACATAATATATACTCGCACTTTTTACTTTACTAACTTTCGCCCGCGACTCCGTCCGCGTGGTTAAAAAAAAACAAAAGCAAGTAGCCTATGTGTTCTTCCAAACTATGTTCTACATCTATGTCAAATTTCATCCAGATACGTTCAGCCGTTTAGGCTACAAAGTGTAACAAACATCCATCCATTCACCTAAATTTTTACATTTATAATATTAGTATGATTTTCCGCAAAATGACAAGTTTTTTATGACGTGACATTTATTCACTAACATTAGTTAAGATACTTAGTTTGCTATGTAATTGACAAAAATGATAACTTTTCAATAATGTTGACACTTACAGTGACAGATATGCCGAGTCCGAGATGCGGCGAGCGGCGCACGCGCACGGTGCGCGGGCGGGCGGCGGGCGCGCGCGGGCGCGCGGGGCGCGGGGACAGGCCGCGGCACACGCGCACCAGCGTCTTGTGCCGCTGCAGCAGGATCTCCGCCTCCACCTGACGTACACATGAGCTGATGAAACAGCACCCGATGAATTACTGCGTCGCTGTCAGACTTACTTACGGTTTGTGTTAATTTTAGATTGTGTTTATTGTGTAAAAAAATGTAAATTAGGTTAAGTTTGTGGAAATTTTGCTAAACATAAACATTTTTTTATCATTTTTTTCAAAGATATGTATAAATATTGATTACATAGAAAGCCAAGATCAAAGAAATCTCGGTTCCAGCGACACGTCCGCCATCTGCAAGTTTACTTTAACACTTAAATAGTAGGTAATGGCACTAAACTTTTTACAAACTCGTCATTCTTTCACTAGTTACATTATCTTTAGCGAATTATTCTGTATAATAAAATGCCTGTAATCTTAATGGATGTGTAATTAGTATTTCCAACTATCAATGACCCTATCCAACATTATTCTCGCACTAACATTCATTACGTCAAGTTCCATTCATTAAAATTAGCGCAGCACGAAACACCTCCTTATCTACTAATTCTATTTTCGTAACATCACACATAATTACCATTATAATAGCAATTTTAAGATTTGGGATGTGGTCGTTAGCCCGCTTTTACACGCGCATTGTACCAGATTGTATTGATTAGGAGACTGAATCTCCCTAACCAGTCTCCTCGGTACAACTTCAGACAGATCACAGAGGTAATACCTGTGCCCAAAGTGAGTCTCTAACTTCAGAGCGCATGTCCCTGCCGAGCAGCTGCAACTGCTGTATTCTGCCCGCTAACTCCTTGTCCAAGTATTTTGTAGCCAATCTGATCGTTAAAAAGAAAATAAAGTAAATTATTTCATTATAATCTTCAATTTAAGCTTAAATAATATAATATACTCCAAAAATCTTTTTTAAATGAAATCTCCGAGTAATTGCATTGGTTTACCAATACAGTGTATTACTTCCAGTCCTTTCCGTATTTTACATGGAGAATGTACACATAATTTTTTTATAAATCAGAAAAAGTTATAAAATGATTTGCATATTAAGTCAATTTTAAATGGTTCTTTTTATTCCAGTATTAGATTTTTTGCGATAAATCATTTGAAGCTTCATTAACCAAGGGCCTTGGTACCAGGGACTGACCGCTACATAATGCAAAAAATAAGGTCAGATAAAAAACAAACATGCCTACAAAGAAAAGACGTAGTTTGCGACTTTGATTTTTTATATTTCTTGTTAAACCTATCTACGTATTAAGTTGCATTGAGCTTAAAGAAATGTTATGAGTTCCAATGACATTTTATTTATAGTTTTACAAAACACTGCATGAGATATTGTAGAAAATTGCTTATAACGTTTAATAGCTAATTAAAAATAATGACGACGAAGGTAACATGAGTTTAATCTATAGAAAGCATCTAGAGCTGAATCACATCGAGACGTAGACATCGTAAACTGAGAACTGCACATAAAAGAACTCGACTCTTCAATTAATTAATAAGTTTGTCTAGTCCAAGATTGCATCAAGCGCATAGTTGGAACAACTTTCACACTGCAAATTCTACCCCAACAGACTATTGAATTCATAAATCTTGTAGGTCTCAATATTGTAGTTTTTTAGAGATTGAGGCAAATATTACTTCAAATTTCTACTCCCAATGAATAGTACGTGACAATTTTGTGTAGACATCTGATTTGCCAATACAATAAAATAAATAAATGTCACCAGCAAGTATCGCGGTACATTACCTGGCTCCGAAGAGTTCCGAGTGCAAGGCGAGCACGGTGTCCCGGAGCGTTGCGTTCTCCCTAGCCAGCTGCGCCGCCTCCGCTCGCGCCCGCCGCGCCTCCCCCATCATGCCCATACCTTCCACACTCTCCTTGCGACCTGAAAATATTGTCAATAATATTGTAAATGTTCCTATTCCTAAAGCCACAAGGCTATGGTAATAGCAATGTTTCCCGCATTGTGTGTCGATTCCTCATTCCTAAGGGTTTCGCTTTGAACTTCTGAGAATGTAATAAAGCTTTTGTGAAAAGTTTTCAAATCGAAACGATGACGGGGCAAAAGTTTGAGTGAACTTGTCAGGGAAAAATCTCACGAGTGCTGATCACATATCATTGTGTATTTTTACTATTACTTATCTAGTTAATTATTCATATTATTCGGTAGTATTATAGACAGGACATAGAGAACAATTACGATTGATAGTATAGTTATTGATGTTACATGTGTACTTAATAACAACAAAGGAGCAAACGAGCCCCGTGTGACGCGCTCCATTTGTTATTCAATCGTGAGTCAGATTTAACTTTAACTCAGCGTACACGTTACGTATAATTAAACGAAACGCGTTGCATTCGTCGCCTGCACCAGCGCCTGCGCCCGCGACGCAACACGCGACATCGGTTTAATTTAAACTAATGAATGACATATACAGGGCTGCCAACTAGTCCGCAACTTGTTAGATGGCAGATAGTTCCTGAAAAATTCTCAAGTCAAACCTTTAGCTATTTTTATACAACTTCAATGATCTGCGTCGACTTCGGACCGTCAGTTCTAGTTTAAATGTTTTATTTACTTTGAAATTAAAAGCAAGTTCTTATAGCAAGTACATTAAAAGTAACTGCCCGACATTCTTATCAAATTACTTCAGATTCCAAAGATAGTCAGAAAATACCGTAACAGGGTAAGTCTTAAAACAAATGTTAGAGAAGAAATTAACTAAACTATTTAAATCACATCAAAACAAGTAACACCGCTATTAGAGTTTAATAGTAGGTGCGCCGGAATGTTTGAGTTAAGAGCTCATTTGCATTCAGACAAATCTCTAGATAACCGAGTGTAAACTCGCCGAAACATTCAGGTTAAATGTTGTCTGTATCCAAATATAGGTATCAATTCTATTATCTGGTATTGTCGCGAACGTTTACGACAATTAAATTACACTGTGACATTCATGTTTTGACAGCCCTGTGTGAGATTATTTTCGCATAGGAAACAATGATTATGAATAATCAACAAAAACATATACATCAATCTTTTACGTCTTGACAAAGAACGTAAGCTTAGATATTTACAATCGCCGAATTCAGTAGCTTATAAGCGCAAAAGATTAATGTTATTTGAAACAAAAACAGTACGGCGCCGGGGATGTGGGATTAGGTTGAGATAACGAGACTTACCGACAGCCGCCCGCGCTTGAACTAACTCAGCTCTCATATCCACGAGCTCTGCCTGCGAACAAAATAATACGTTGTTAAATTAGTTTGCTGTATACCAGCTGATGAAACAAATTTCGATCTTTTTATTAATTGTAACTTTGGATCTTACTTATATCCGTTATGGATAATAAAAGTATGTATATATAATAACACGCACGGCAATATCTTTTTAAAATTTCTCCGAAAAGCTATTCTAAACATATTTATATTTGTCGAATGAAGAATTCAAAATAGAAATACCTAGTACCTAGTGAACAGCTATTGCATTCGCATACCACGAATAGATCGAAGAATGGGCCGCTCCTATTAATAAATCTTTTGATTTATAATAGGGTATCTATTAAATATTTTAATAGTTACACTAACAGACATTTTTAAAATGAAATATTTTCTTTTAAATTTCTTACCAAATATATTTGTGAAAAAAAAAACACTTAAGAAATATATTTTTAAGTTCTGTCCATTTTAAGAAAATAATCATTAGTAGTCAGTATTCAATCGTTATTCACAGGAATATTTACTGAAATGGTATTGGAATAAGAATTACTTAATTCAAGCTTAGCATTTCCTCGTTCAATGAGATGATAGATGCCTGAGTATTGAGTCACGGTCACAATGGGATATAATCTCGACTGGAAATCAATAGCGACGTAAATCCCAATCAGAGGCGACAGATGGCGGGCGTGACGCTGCGCACGCGCACATAACCTTTGCCATTCCCATAACCTGCGGGACTCATGCCCACCCCCATTCACTTAAATCTTGTCTCATTTAACCCACCCGCTAATTCCCCGATGATTTATAGTATTATATCAATTTAGCTGTGCGTCTTTTGGTTGTAAAACAAACAGTCTAAGCCTGCGGGCTAACGATAAATAATATTAATGAAAGAGATTTACTTTCTCATTATATTTAATAAATTCTTATTAAAGTTTGTTGTTGGAAGATGGTGCAATGTTTAGAGAGTATCATGTTTTTGAATACCGGAAGTAACAAGCATTTTCTTTACAGAAATGAAAGTAAAACCGTAAACTATTTCATATTTGATTTATGTTTGGATTATACAAAAATGTTACGAACGCTTTCAACTTTTTAAAATTTCTAGCGTGAATTAAACTTATTTCCTGATCCAGACAGTGTTAAGTATTATTAAATTATATTTAAAACAATCAACGGTTCAATGAATGAAGTGAAATCACACCCGCATCTTTGAGATATTGCTCTAACGCTTGTATTAAAACATATTGTTGTCCCGTTTTTTTCAAAGGGAATGAAAAAGATGATATATTGTTTTATACATGATATACAGTGGGAACTCCCAAGTATGTATACATGTGCGTTGATACGGAAGCGGTGTGATAGGAGTCAGCGACGCGAAGTCTCGAGTGCGCGCCACGCGGTACCGGTGGTCTGACGTCTGACCCGACAGACTAAGGCCGGCCACAGACTAAACAAAATTATTATAGTTCATAAAAAAAGAATAAATTAGGAGATTGCGCTACTGTACGGTAAACAAACATATGGTGATACTTTAAATGTAGTTTCGAATCTTTCGCGTCTAAAACAGGCAGATACAATAGATTTCCACTTGGAGCAATCTTTGTACAACATGTTTACAAAGGAATCTGGGTTTATCAAGAAGGATTTTGATAAATCTATGTTTGTAGCCACCAAAACAAGAAACAACCAGGAGTCAAAAAATCTATTTACCACAAGATGTCGCGACAAGACACAGAACAAATTATACCGCCATAAATATTTTTTAATGTTGATCAAATAACAAGGGTAGAAACATTAATACTGAATGTTACCTTGACGTGGTGCATGTTTACAATGTAAATAAGCCGCCAGCCTCTCAAATTAAACATGATCGGATGCACCTAACGCTAGCGCACTCGACCCGCGACTCATTTAATCCACCCACGCACTTTATACATCCATGTATCTAAACTGACTTCTTTATGTATTTCACAATCAACTTTGTTAACAAATACCCTTTTGGGAAGAGGAAAACCATACAAATAAAATGAAAAGAGCCTAAGACTATTTGAAATGTACTTATTAAAATGATTTTTAACTTTCTATCGTGTCCACGGATTGTCCCTTCGACTGTTAAAGATTCGCTTCGAGCAACTACAACTTGTTATTGGTATTCGACGATAGCATGAAAAAAAAATCTATGTAGCTTTGTTTTTAGTCTGTAAAATTTTAGCCAGAATAATTTAGTTAAATACTCTAAATAAAATCACGCATACTAAAAACGTTTATCAAGTGTTATTACAGATATAAGAATAAACCATGATTTACAGTGTCAGTAATTTGTCTGAATATCATAAGCTTGTGCATTCAAAGTTTACGAGTTACAATACATACTAAAGGTGTCGTGTAAAGATGACTCAGTTGGTTAAATATGAATTTTAACTAGAACAACTAATAATGATTGAAGAGCTGCCAAATTAACCGGGACAAGGACGTTGACAACACCTGAATACGAAAAACTAACAACAATTTGTCGTTTAAAACAAATGGCTAATCTAACAAGATGTTACTCTAACCTGACAATAGTTTGGTCGTGGTAAAATAGAAACACTCTTTCCCTGTTTAAAGAGATTTTACTGTTACAATAAGTAAATAATTTTATCTATATATTAATGAAATCAATATCTCGTAGATACGTTTAATGCCAGAGCAGCACAGTTGGGTTTAATCTTATCGTAACAAAATCGACTATTGCAATGAAAATTGCTTCTATAAATGAAGACAGGAATTTAGTAAAGTAACTTTAATATTAGTGCAAACAATTTTAAGCAAAGGTGTAATGCATTGTATTATAAACAAATGTTTGTATTCTTACATTGTAAATACATTATTGTGTCTGGTGTATTGGCATGTATCATTATACATGCCAATAACTCACAAAAAACACTCAAGAAACTTTCAAAGAGGCCTATAAAGTACACAGGCACGGCGAAGAACAAAGAGCAAGTAACGTACACAACAGTTGAATATTATAAACACGTTTTGTGAGGTTTTTAGAAAAGAATCGCTATTTTAAATTCTGTAGAGTGGAGACAATGCAGGCTGGTGGGTCGGGGAACTCGAACGACACGATGTGCCGGAGACGAACTGCCGCAGACCTGGAGGAACAGGGTCACAAACATTCTGTTTGTAACACACTATAGTAAAATTTACAAGAAAATCAATAGTGAAATAAACAGGAACAACCGTAGCCTTAATATGTAATGGTGGAAAACCAAAAATCATCACATCGTAAAACATTACATTTCGATTACTATGATCTTTTTCTGTCCTCATGTTATCTATACATTTATGGCCATGACAAAATCTTATTATGCATTTGTAAAATTATAATTTGTTAGATACATTTTCGCTATAATTTACAATAAAGACAAACGTGTGGTCACCTTATACTTAACTGCTACGCTTAGATGATTACCTAACATGTTGCGTAACGACACCATAAATGTTTTCCAATGGTATTTAATTTTAATAGCATAGTCATTGCAGATTTTTATAGTTAATATAGGAACACAATGCCGGCATTGATTGCCGAAGGGCCGCATTATGTTCGTGTTATGTAAATATCGTGTTGACGGTAATTGTCTCCTAACGTACAATAACATTCAAAATATCTATTATAATAAATGTTTTTAATGAACTTCGCCAAAAAAATCCGTATAAATAAATGGATTTTAGATTTTAAACATACTGTGTTTATATATTGTTAATTATATTAAACAATAGAGCATTCAAATTACCGATAATGTGTCTCTAAAATCAGAAATACATTCTTATTACATAACATTAAGAAGTAACAAAAGCCGTAATTTAATGTATTCCTATGACATAACATATTCTCTCCAAGTATTTTGTCTGTTTTTAACCTTAACCTTTGTTTTAACCGTCTTGTGTTTTTATAAGTTACGTCGTAAAATGTAAAATTGTAAGTATCGTAAGATGGTGTCCGCGGGAGGGCGCTGTTGGCAGTTTCAAAGAGTTACAGCTCAGCTTCGTGTCTTATCGACAATTCGAGTCTATTCAGTGCATAGCTTTTAGTACTGCCTAGGTCTCGTACATGTATTCTTGACACACATTTGATTACGTGCTTCGTCTAGGTGTAAACACTTTACGCTCGGTTTAGTCAAACAGTTAAAACATAATGACACAAGATTTTCATTTCAATCTTCACGAGACGCAAATACTCGAAAACATAAACATGAAATGCGTATAAATGTCGACAGATTTATGTGGTAAATACCAGCTATTTGTAAGTATATTTTAAATTTATGTCATAATCTACTATTTAATTGATTTCAGCAATAAAGCCAAATAGAACTTTATAAATAGCAAAGTACTTGGTATGTTACACAAACTTTATTATTACATCTATTACATAAAAGCACCTACACCTAATTACGTAAGCTAGTTCTTTTAGTTATGAGATATATGAAAATGAATTAGTTAATTGATTATTGTCGACAGATTGCTGCAAGTTGATCAAAGAAAAGTTGCGATAACCAATAAACACGACCTACGCCGAGTCAAGATCATTACCGTCCGAATAACGTGGGCGTATTGTAACCAACGATTGTGAATATTGTAACGACGTACACAAATGTTACACAAATCGTGAGGCCTGAGTTAATGTGTATGCATCACAGCACTCGTAATGAAAGTACAGTTACATCTAATGGCTAATGCTGAGACAATGAATGCAATTCATTAGGGCGGCAATAAAACACGAGTCGACGTCCGTCGTCCGCCGATTCACCTAAATACCGAGACGACAAGCTGCTCGCTTTCATCTCACTAATTAAGTTACGATTGATTGGGATAAAGGTATCCGCCGTTATTTTTACTCAATTTATAGCACTGTATCATAAATTTGATAGACAACCTTTTACCGATAGAGAAACTGAACAACGAAATAAGAAGCGGACCATGAATCGATGTCAATGACCTGATAAAATAAAATTTGAATTCTGAAATACA